AGATTCTCTATCACAATTGTGTTAGTGGTTGATAGCTTTTCAAGATCTTTCTTGAGCTTTTCATTCTCATTCTTGAGCTTGACATAATCATCATAGTTGTCGGACTCAACCACTTTTTTGCCTTTGCTACTAGAACCTTGCTCAATGCTCTCAACAATCAAGTCATCACATGATGTAGCTATATCAATCTCAACAACATTGTTAGTAGCATCATGTGGCTCATTGGATAATAACTCATGAGAAAGAACAAGATTGTCATGATTAATCTTGAGATTGGTGCTCTTCTTTTAGCAAATTGTAACTAGTGGTTAGCTCATTATGTATCCCCTCAAGTTTATCATGTTTTTCTCTAAGCTCCTTTTTAGAGATTTTGAGCTCCTTGAGTTTGGATGACACAATTTTATTTTCTTCTCTAAGCTCAACACTAGCTTTTTTGGTTGTCATATTTTGCTAAGAGTGAGTCCTTCTCAAGTTCTAGCTTTTCATTTTTAGCTCTTGTCTTTCTAATGATTTTAGTGTATTGGTTTAGCAACTTGACAAGATCATCATAAGGTGATTCAAATTCTTCATCACTATCACTACCACTTTCATCATTGCTAGCATTATCATCACCACTACTATTATCATCATTTTGTACCTTTTGTTCACCCTTGGCCATAAGGCATAGGTGTGTAGAGGATGATGGCGACGGTGTCGGTGAAAATGTGAAGAATCAATCATAAGAGCAGCCACCTTCTCCTTCTCATTCTCATTTTCATCATCGGATGAGCCACTTGATGATTCAATGTCCATGAGCCAATCACCAACAATGTATGCCTTACCATTCTTCTTCTTGTGAAATTCCTTCTTCTTGCCATCCTTCTTCTTGTATGGCTTGTTCTTCTTCTTCTTCTCATCATTATCTTCATCACTTGAGTCATCTTTCTTGCCCTTGTACTTCTTCTTGTACTTGTCTTTCTTGGGTTTGGGGCATTGATGAGCTAGATGACCAAGTTTTCCACAATTATAGCAATCCATTTTGGAGATGGGCTTCCTTCTACTACTAGTGAAGAATTTCTTCTTCTTGCCATCAAACTTAACACCATTCTTGTTTAGCTTCTTGAGCATCTTGGCAGTTCTTCTCACCATGAGAGCTAGACTTGCATCATCAATCTTATCATCACTTGAGCTATCATAATCAACTCTTGCTTTGCCCCTCTTCTCTTGGCTAGCCTTGAATGCCAAATCTTTCTTCTTGGTGGAAGAAGAGCCATCTTGTGGAGTGATGTGCATGTACATCTCATGTGCATTGATCTTTCCCAATATTTGAGTTGGTGTAGCGGTAGAAAAATCACCTTGATAAAGCACCATCACAATATGCCCATACATGTCAATGGGAGGACACTCAAATTCTTTCTCACAACATCGGATGGTTGCATTTGTGTGAGTCTAAGTCCATTGACTTCCTCTACAAGAATATTCAAGCGTGAATACATCTCATTGGCACTTTCTCTAGGAAGCATCTCAAATAAATTAAGCTTTTTCATCACAAGGTGATAGCGTTCCTCACGGTCACTCTTGGTTCTCTCATGGAGTGCACAAATATCCGACCATAGTGTATGGGTGTCTTTGTGGTTCCGCATACGGTTAAAGATATCCTTGCAAAGGCCTCTAAAGAGGGTGTCTCTAACCTTTGCATTCCACTTCTCATAGTTAACCTCATCGCCTTGAAGGTTGGCGGGATCCTTAGGTTTTGGGAAGCCTTGTGAGGCGACTCTAAGAACTCCAACATCTAAAGCCTCTAGGTATGCCTCCATGCGAATTTTCTAATAAGGAAAATCATCTCCTCAAAAGATAGGAGGGGGTCCATCCCCATGGGACATCTTGCTCTAGGCGGTTAAGCCTAATTTAGGGAGCACGAGGCTCCGATACCAATTAAAAGGATCAAGATGTCCAAGAGGGGGGGTGAATTGGGCTAATTCTATTTTTTTTGCAATAATTAAGCTCTACACTTAGCCCATTTCACCCCTTATGTCTAGAATGTGTTTCTATTGTTCTGCTGTATAAAAGTTTTGCACCCTAGGTTCCAATCCTACTCTAGCATGGCAATTCTAGGAATGTAAAGACATGAAATGAATTGCTCAAATGTAAATTCTCAAAATAAAGAGAGGGAAAGGAACACGATGATGTTTTCCCGAGATATCGGAGAGTCGCCACTCCCCACTAGTCCTCGTTGGAGCACCCGCGCAAGGGTGTGGCTCCCCCTTGATCCATACAAGGATCAAGTGCTCTCTACGGGCTGATTCTTTGACACTGCGTCATGGTGAATCACCACAACCGCTCACAAACATGACTTGGGTTATCCACAAGCTCCGCCGGATGATCACCAAGCTCCCAACCACCACCGAGCCATCTAGGTGATGACGATCACCAAGAGTAACAGGCACAAACTCTCACTTGACCAAGACAAGCCTAATGAGAAAGTTGGATGCACACTTGCTACTCTCTATGCACTAGTGAGGTCCTTAATCTTGGATTATCAACTCTCAATCACTACACTAGGCTCTTGCTCTCCCTTGAACTCCAAAGGCATTTCAAAGCTGAACAATTAGGCAAGATACCACCCATGAACGAGTGGGATAAGTATTTATACCCCCTCATTCAAAATATAATGGTTGGAGGCCAACTCAGCAAGTTTTGGGGTGTCCAGACGTGCCGGTCAGTAGTACACGTCATTGTGTTAGAGAGAGCCGTTAGCTCTGACCAGACTCTGACCTGCGTTCGGTCATCACCCACCAGACGCGTCTGGTCAGCAAAATGCCCCTACAGATGCTCTCTGATGTTGATCGGATACAGGCACCCTAGCGTCCGGTCATGTACTGTTTAGCGTCCGGTCAGTACATGACTGTAGCTGCTGATCAAATGAACTGACTAGACTCTTCAAATTGCGTTCGGTCACAACCAAACCAGCGTCCGGTCAGTCATTTGACCATCCATTCTCTTCCAATTCAAAATCCTTCGAGAATGAAGTTGACTTCTATCGATCTTAGGGCTATTCCTGAGCTACCTAGTGCTAAGTTTGACACGTGTGCACCACACCTAATCTATTAGACTCACCTAGGTCAAGCTACTAGTCCATACCCCCCTTAATAGTACGGTCAAAGGAAAAACAAAGTCCTAAACTACTCTAAGTGTCTCTCTAATGCCAAGCGACACTTAGAACTAGTCCGTCCTTAACCTTGTCGTCCATCATTTTAAAACCGAAACGATTTCCATCGACGGGGGCATGCAACCATGATTGCCCAATCAATTTCCATTACCATGACCTAACTCAAATTGCCTCCGCAAAACACACATTAGTCATAGTAATCTTGTGTCGTCATTAATCACTGAAACCCAACTGGGGCCTAGATGCTTTCTCTTGGGTCCTTTCAAAAATACAAGGTATGATCTGGATGATTTTAGGGATGTACCTGTTGAGAATTTGTCTTGACAGGAGAAATTTAACTTGACGCATTCGAGGCTGCGCAATGTCTTCGAACAGACATTTGGGATTGTGAAGGCGCATTGGCACATTTTGGATGGGGTTCCGTACTGCCATAGGGAGAAGAAAAAGATGATTATTATGTCATGCTTTGCAATGCACAATTATTTGTACATTCATTAGCATGGACTTGGTTCGCCTACGTACACACCTAGCTAGTGGGTGCAGCTCAATGCACATAATAGTATGACAGCGATGAGGGAGTACATCTCTTTGGCTCTCTGGGGAGAATGATTGGGCAAAGGTGATGTAAATTAGGATAGAAAGTAGTTCCAATTAAAGCTAGAACTCCCTGGATATGTGTACATGCAGGTTATGACATGTTGTCCACTTGCAGGTGAGGCTAAGTGGTGGAGGAGAGGTCTAAGTGGATTGGAGGATGGCATGAAGACCCATTGATGGTTGGGTAAGTGACTTTTGCATGGGAACCAGCTTCATGCTCATTATTATGTGCCTTGAAAAGGGTTTAATTTTTGTATAGATTCCACTTAGGACATTTGTTACCTGTAGAGCAATGGTAGGAATTGGAAATAGTAGGATTGTATGCCAATATAGGTTGATGTTGTACATGGAGTACATGCGCATAATAGAAGGTGCATGTTTCTGTTGGTGTTGCAAATGTTTTGTGCAACTCCTACAAGTTTTGTAAATGCTCCAGTAATCCTCCAAGTAGTAGTGTTATGGACAACTGAGGTATGTACTGCTGTAATGAATTGTTGTAATTGGATCTTAGGAATTCCAATGAGCTATTGTAATGCCTGCAAATTGGTTCAACTAGCAGCTGTGCCTTGTACTACTGTTGTAATGAAGTGTTATTTCAATGGCCTTGGAAGCACATTTCAGTGAGATGTAATGAAATGGTATTAGAACTGGTTGGTACTAACTTGTATGTGTTAATGTTGATACTTGTTGTCGGACGTGTATTTGAGTGGATCTGTTAGTTGGCGCCAACTTTGGTTCATTGGCGCCAAAATTTGATTTGAAATGAGTACATTCAAATGGTTGCAGCAGCAGCTGGTAGGCTGGCTGGCGGTGGGCCGATTCAAATTAGCTGATTGACCAGCCCAGCCAGCCAATTTATAACAGCCGAACAGAGCCAAAGCATCATCAACAGGCTACCAGTTGTAGCATCAGATGATTTTGCAGAAAATTTTACTGTAATTGGATTTGAGACTGTTTACTGCTGAATAACTCCTATTTATATGGTTTGCATTGAATACATCAACCTTCCTCACATAAGATGAATAAAAAAACCTGGAACTCTACAGGATTCCAGGTACTCGATCAGAGGTATGTGACAAAGGTTGAGCTATTCAGTATCAAGTCAACCTAGAGTTAATCTGTGGCAAATAATGCTTTTTTTGTTTGGTTTTAGTAAAGTATAGCACAAACTTTCAGGCAGGAAACCATTGTTTTTGAGGCGCCGCGCCGTGGCGCCCGACCCCCTTCACAACGCCTAAGCGTTTGTGGCGGATGCCTAGGCGACGCCATACGCATATTGTAAGGCGTTGTAAGCTAGAATTTTATATACTAGTGCAGCACATACATACCTCGTTTGTTGCCAATTCTAGAGCCCATGTTCCATTCTTTCCTTTCCAAAAGCTCTTCTCCCATGTAGCATCCAACCCCTTGAAGGAAACTACATGACAATTAAAGAATTTAGCAATCAAACACATTATCAGTTGCTGAGAATTAAATAGGAAAAAATACACAAGAGGCAAGATAACAAATTAGCAAGCATTAGTGCATGCATGAGCATGACAAATAACATCATAGTCTGTCTCAAATAGTCCACAAACTTATAATGAAGTACTGAACTCTAAAGCATATTAATTAAGTCAACTACACCAAAAAGTACAGCAAGGGTGCAGGACACAAAAGAATCCATCAGCAGGACTGCAAATATCTGTTTTAGCACTCAAAATCCATCATCAAACTCATCAGGATTAGTAGCCTTGTCTTCTTTAGTAGCAAGAACATTGCCATCTTCTTCACACTCGCTCACTTCCGCATCATCATGTGGGTCTTCAACTTCATCTTCCTCTTCTCCATCTTGAGAGCGAGAGCGGTGAACAAGAACATTTCTTGAATGACTATAATATTGAGTAGCAGTAGCTCTCCTAGGAAGATTACGACCCTACATTGCTTGTGATGCACCGGTGGCTTCATCAACACATCTTTGCCATGTGAGCTCATTGACAAGATCAGACCCTCGAGCACCGGAATGGGCACATGCAATGAATCAGCCCATTCATTGTCCCAATCAAACTCCTCAATGACCAAAGGGTCATATTTCTTGCCTGCCTTCTCACGCATAAGCTGAAACCTTGTTCTCATCTTCCGATTGTATGAAACAAAAACAATATCATTCAATCTCTTGTGAAGCAGCCTATTCCTTTTCTTTGTATGCATCTACAAACAAAAAAAATCAGATGGGAAGCAAAACAAAAAATCAGATTGTATGCATCTAAATAAAAATTGTTAATCACAAGGATACTCACAAAATTGAAGGTACTCAAATTTTTCTCTCACAACCAGATGATGAAGCACAAAGACTAACTATACGCTTAACAAGTCTTTGTAGTTCAAATGGCTAAACCACCATAAGAATGCCACCAATCAAGCTGGGATGAAAAGTACAGCACATATTAGGAGTTTGAAATGCAATTAAGTTGCTGAAATTTGCAAGCTGAGATTAACAACACTTACGAGGACTCATTTTGTCATAGCTTTCCTTTGCCATTTTGTTTGAGAAGGCATCTCCACGTTGCTCTTCATACTCAATGGCCTGCCTATTGATCTTCATTTGTGTTTCCACATCTGGTATCATTCTTCCAAGCACTTCAATAAAACAACCTCTTAGCTGCCCAACAGTGGCATCATCATTAGCTTTTACAAGAGGATAAAATTTTCCTAGGTTCAAATATAGTGCAGCCCCATACAATGGATGCTCCATTTGGTTCACCCAATGCTTCTCAATAATGTCCATGATACGCTTGAGCAGTCCCTACTTGGTTGATATATTGAAGCTGAGCTTTATCCTATCTTTTGCATGATTCATTAGAGATGTGACCTCTGGCATTGCAGGCTTCTCATCACCATCAACACCCTCAAAACAATTAAGAGTGGAAATTTGAAGCTCTTAGGCAATCTTCTCTCGAGTTCCAAAACTCAAGAGATAGCACAATGTCTTGCACTTGTTGACCTGTTGTAGTTGTACACAAGTGTTCCCAATCCATGCTTCACTAACAAACAAGCTCTTCAAGGCATCCTTGTTCTTGTACAAACTCTTCAATGTCGAGAAATGATATGGCAAATCGAGTCTTCTTTGCCCTTACAAGATCATTGCCCACTGTTTGAGCCCTCATTGCACTAAGAAGCCTCCCATGCCTATAAATGAATGTGGTGACATGCCTAGCACGTGCAATAGGTTTCTTAAATGCCTTCAAGTTCCCAATTTCTTCCAACATCAGATCCAAGCAATAATGCAAAGACAAGGACTCCAAAAATAGTTTGGGAATCCTATCCATCAAAATCTTACCGGTGACCTTGTAGTTAGCGCCATTGTCGGTCACAACTTGAACAACATTGTCCTTTCCAATATCCTCAATCTTCCCTTGTTACAAATCAGCTAACATTGTTGCACTATGAACTTGACTTGATGCATCAACTGACTCCAAAAGTATGTTCCCTCGTGGTCGTTCACAAGAAAATTAATCAAGTGGCGCCTCTCATATCAGTCCATCCATCGACATTAGTGTACAACCATATTGCTTCCAGGCCTGCTCATGGTCCTTCCTCATGGCACTTGTCACCTTAACACATTCTTGAAGTAAAGGTTCACCAAGTCGTTGGTTAGTTGGAGGCTTGTACCTGAACCATATTGAAATTTGTTGCCTCACAGGCAATTTCAAATTGCCTTGAATTTGCTGCATTAAAGGATACACCACACTCCATGAACCATAGTGCCCATTGCAAATCCACATATTGCTTCTCCTCCTTAGTCTTTGTGCTGGACTCAATGGTGGGTCGAAAGTCCTTTGCACGCCTTTGATCTACTATCTGTTCAGGAGTTCTTCTAAGCATAACAACAACAGACTTTGTTGTCTTTGGTGTTGAATTGCCATTGCAAGGTCTTGAAGCCTTGAATTGATAGATAGCATGCCTTCTCTTGGCGGCTGTCCCAGAACTTGGTTTTGCAGCCGGTTTTGCACCCCCATCTGCTCCTGCTTGTACATTTGCCGCTGCCACCTCCACAACTTCATCTTCCCCATCTTCTTCCTCAATACCATCCAAGAACAAAGGCCTTCTTCTCTTCTTTTGCAAGTAAGCTTCCATCTCTTTCCTAATTTCAATGGTAACTTTTGGACAAAGGACAATATCTCCATATCCACCAGCCAAATGTTGCTTGAACCTCTTTATGCCTCCTGAAGCCTCATTTCCACACATGATACATGTCACCCAGTCTCTCCTAGCAGGTGTCAGTGCGGGACCTACAGGATACCCCGCAAGAGAGAGAGAAGATCTAGTCTAACTAGGATTCTTTCCATGTAATCTTAGTAGTAGTATTACTCTGTAATCCTACTAGGAACTTCCATTGTAAACCGACTAGGACTCTGACCTCCTGACTATATAAAGGAGGGCGGGGTTCCTAGTGAGGGGGATGACTTTTACGATTGTAACAACATAACTCCAGACAATCAATCCAACGCAAGGGCTAACGCCGACTGGACATAGGGCTATTACTCGATCAGCGATCAAGGGTCTGAACCAGGATAAATCGACTGTCTCTTGCGTTCACCATCGAGTTCCGCATACGCTGAAGCCCGAACATACTGCCCCGGGGATCCTTGTGGTAGGCTATCGGTGGTCAAACATCGACAGCTAGCGCACCAGGTAGGGGTTTTCGGCGAATTTGCATCCGAGAGCTCGATGGACCTCGACAACATGATCTTCTTGACAGGATCAACTTTCATCTTCGGCTCATGGATCTGCAAGGCGGACGACAATGGCAAGCTCCAAAGTTGTCTCCTCAAAGATTTGGATCACCATGAAGCCTTTTCTATTTCAGCAACGAAGACAGATCAAATCACCGGAAGATTCGCGCGGCTCATGATGTTCGATTCAACTCAGGTTTTGCGGCTTTGCGCATCCGACTCAAACTCAGGCTCCGCATCCGAGATGGAGTATGACCTGAGTTCTTTCAGCAAACCGAGTTCTTTTCCGATGGGGCTTAAGAATGCGGCTTTAGCCTATCAAGAATACAACCCGGAGTACACTCAGAGTCTTTCCAAGAAGTCGAGTCCTTTTCCGTTCAGACTCCACAACATGGCAACATCTTATCAGACATGGCCCGAAGGATTCCTCGATCCGGTGCTTAGAATGCCACTGAAGGGAGCTCAGGAAGGTCTCGTACTAACTATAACATCTCAAGATTGCATCATCCACTGGCCAGGCTCTGTTCCTAAAGGTAGCGGTACCCGACTAGTCGACACGACGGCAACAGCAATTCTACCCTACCAAGAAGGAGACTCGATCTACAACCTCGAAGCCTCTACTAAAGTTATCAGCAACTCCGACAGTGTGGAAACTAACACCGATAACAGAACAGTTCACACACGGGAAGTACTCATGGTTCGCCATCCTCGATCACCATTGGTCCCCCCAGAAGCACCCGATGTTAGGTCATCGAATGAATCGAAATCCAACATATCACCCTTCGTCCAGGGCTACGATGGTGAGACCGAGACTCAGAAGCAAGCCAGAGAAAGAAAAAACAAGTCAAAACAAGGACGCCAAAACCATGCTAGGCAGTGCAAGGAAGCTTGGATCAGATATGAGTTAGAACTGGCCGAGTACAATAGAAGAAAATCAGAATGAGAAGTCGAAGAAAGGCACATGGCAAATACATCCTACGATAAAATCAGAGAAGCACTAGAAGAACTCAGAGCGACTTCACATCCCAGTGAAAAACAAGAACAACTCTGGGACTTTCTCCGGTCAGCAGCCCTAAGGACACACGATGGAAGGACCTGCTCAAGACTACCTGCCAGGTCAACGTCTCATAGGCAAGAAGATCAAAATCAAAGGAAGTCCGCTTTCGAGAGACTTGGACCAAGTGGAAGTCACAACAAAGAAAGTAGAAGGGACCATAGTCAAAGTTACCGAGTTGAACAACCAAGAAAGACCAGAAGCAGGGCGCCTGCCCTGACAGCCTCGCAGAACTACTCTCACCAAAACAACAGTTGGCCAGAAGGAGGTGCCGAATCAGAATACAAAGAAGCCGGAACGCATGATAGATTCCCCTGTTTTGCAAACAGACTTGCTTCAATATGACTACCTCACAAGTTCAAGCCATCCAACCACTCTAAGTATGATGGCAAGACTGAACTAAGGCAGTGGCTCAGGATATACTCGCAATCAATTGAACTAGCCGGAGGAGACGACGATATCAAGACCCTGTTCTTTCCCATGGCCCTCGAAACCATGCCCCTCCAATGGTTCGACAAATTGAATCCAAGATCAATCATAAATTGGGAGGACTTGCAAAGAGCTTTCTGTGAAAATTTCACGGGTATCATTACACACCCAATCACCCACGCAGAATTAAAAGGACTCAAGCAGAAAGGAGGTGAAAGTCTCAGAGATTACTATCGATGATTTGGCGAACTACGTGCTCAAGTACATGACATCACCGAACGAGAAGTAATCGAAGCTCTCTCACGGAATCATGGCTAGGTGGCAATTTCAGGACTTCTGCAAGGAAAACCTGAGAAACAATGAAGAATTCAGACGAACAGTAGAAAAGATGATTACTGTAGAAGAGAAGACACGAGAGAGGTTCCCAGATAAAAACAACTGAGACAACCCAGACAAGCAAAATCATCGAAACAACAGACATCAAGAAAGAAAACGTGGACCAGACAACACAGTAGCGATGGCTGACAAATCAAAGAAGTTTTCAAAACCTAGAAGGTATGACAACATTGAAAACATGCATTGCATCTTGCACCCCAATGAAAAGCACACCATCGGAAATTGCTACACCTTCAATGAACGATACACAAGGAAAGATAGCAAGGGGAACACTAAAGAAGACGGTCAGAAAAAAGAAGAAGACAACCATGAAGACAAGGGATTCCAAAAATCCAGGGGGACGGTAGCAGTGATCTTCGCCGGGGCCCTAGATTCCAGAAGCAAGCATCAAGAAAAGTTATCTCTACGAACCATCATGGCAGCAGAGCCGGCTACTCCAAGATATCTCAATTGGTCACATATCCAATCCAGTTTTCAAGAGAAGACCAATGGACTAGCGTAGGAAACGCAGGCCATTACCCACTGGTTCTAGACCCAACTATTGCCGGTATGACTGTCACCAAAGTACTAATCGACGGGGGAGCTGGACTCAACATCATCTTTTCAGAAACACTAAGGAAGATGGGACTACAACTCGCCGGGATGATTACACCAACAAGTACACCTTTTTATGGCATAGTACCCGGCAAGGCAGCCATGCCACTTGGACAAATTACTCTACCAGTTACTTTTGGGACTCCCTCGAACTACCGCACAGAGTTCATCAAGTTTGAGGTTGCAGACTTCGATTCATCATACCACGCAATCCTCGGGCGCCCAGCACTAGCAAAATTAATGGCAATACCGCATTATCCGTACCTGTTGCTTAAGATGCCAGGACCTAATGGTGTCCTTTCTCTTCGAAGTGATTTGAAGCGCGCTTTTGACTACGACGTTCAGGCAATCCAAATTGCAGCCAAAGCACAAGCCGATAATGGTAGAAAAGAAATAGCCACTATTGCCACAGAAATAAGCCAAGAAGAACTAGAGATACTGGCTAAAAAGCCTAGCCTCATCGCACCACCAAAAGAAGCCGACGTCAAGCAAATCGACCTGGGCACTGGCGATCCCTCCAAAACAGCAACCATCAGCGCCCACCTCTCAGCAAAATAGGAACTCGCACTCACCAACTTTCTTCAGGACAACAAAGATATCTTCGCTTGGAAGCCGGCCGACATGCCAGGTGTCCCAAGAGAGTTGGCTGAGCACAGAATTGATATCAATGAAGGCTCCAAGCCCGTGAAGCAACAGCTACGACGATTCTCACCCGACAAGAAGGCAACAATTAAAAAAGAAATCACAAAGCTAATGGTAGCCGGATTCATCAGAGAAATCCTTCATCTAGATTGGCTAGCAAACCTAGTTCTGGTATAGAAAAAGAACACGGACGAATGGCGCATGTGTGTCGACTACATAGATCTCAACAAACACTGCCCAAAAGATCCATTCGGGCTACCACGCATTGATCATATAGTTGATTCAACAGCAGGATCTGCCCTATTATCCTTTCTTGATTGCTATTCAGGATATCACCAGATCGCATTAAAAGAACAAGACCAGAGCAAGACATCTTTCATCACTCCGTTTGGTGCCTATTGCTACAAGACCATGTCGTTTGGACTCAAGAATGCGGGTACCACTTACCAAAGAGCTATCCAGACGTGCCTTGGTGATCAGATCGGTGAAAACGTAGAAGCATGCGTGGATGACGTGGTAGTAAAAACAAAGAACCCGGATACACTGATTGAAGACTTAAAGCAAACATTCAAAAACCTGAAAAGGTGGAGGTGGAAATTGAACCCAAACAAGTGTGTATTCGGAGTTCCTTCAGGACAATTACTCGGATTCTTGGTCAGTCATCGCGGAATCAAAGCAAGCGCCAAGCAAATTCGAGCCATAACAGAGATGGGCCCTCCTCAAAGTGTCAAAGATGTGCAGAAACTAACATGGTGTATGGCGGCCCTTAATCGTTTCATATTAAGACTCGGCGAAAAAGGGTTACCTTTCTTTAAACTATTAAAGAAGACAGACAAGTTCAAGTGGACGGAAGAGGCCAATGAAGCTTTCAAGAAACTCAAGGCATACCTCACCTCCTTGCCAGTTCTCACACCTCCAAAGAAAGACGAAGACATGATGCTATACATTGCGGCAACTTCTACCGTGATCAGCACGATGATAGTCGTAGAAAGAGAAGAAGAAGGGTGCGTGTATAAAGTACAATGCCCCGTATACTACATCAGCGAAGTACTGTCAGAATCAAAGATCCGGTACCCGCATGTACAGAAACTACTCTACGCCCTACTGATCACTTCACGCAAGCTTCGCCACTACTTTGAAAGCCACAAAATTACCGTGGTGACAGATTTCCCACTCGGAGACATCTTACACAACAAAAACACAACAGGGCATATATCTAAGTGGGCAGTTGAACTTGGTGCTCTCAGTATCGATTTCACCCCACGGAAGGCAATTAAATCTCAAGCCCTTGCCAATTTTGTTGCCGAGTGGATAGAGATTCAACAACCTATGTCAAATTCCATCTTTGACCACTGGAAGATGTACTTTGATGGATCACTCAAACTAGGCGGAGCTGG